ACCTAAGACTTGGCCCTACCTAATTTGCATTTGTCAATCAATCTTTTATATTAACATCATTTTTCAGGAGATGTTTAATGTAAAATAGTTAAGCATTTGTAAGGAATGCACCTATGTTTGACAAACACTTGTTTCTGACTAGTTTGATTGCAAATCTTGGAAGTTTAAGCAAGTTGTATTTTCCATTAGGATTATTTATTGGTTTTCATTCACCTTCATCCTAAAAAAATTAATAACATAAAATGGTTTTTGTTTCATTAACTACGAATATTTCATGTATTTATAAAATATTTACCTCGATATTGGATAAACCAAATAAATCTTTTTGACTAATAATCTAGTATTGGAAGAATGTTGATATGCACCTTTTGAACCAATTTTTTTTCTCTGATCACGAAGATAAGCTCTATCTTCAAAAGGTACTTTATTACTTTGAGAGCAAAAGCCTACAATATGTTCTTTGTTGCAATTATTATCGCATAAAACTTTCTGTCACTTCAGGAAAAAACACATCTAATGAACAGGAACACGGAGAAATATCAAAAAGTTTGTCCAAGTTTGCATCAAGATATTTTTTAGTGCTTGCTTTTCCGTGCTTGCGATTAATATCCTTAACAAGGACGAGAAGATCTTTCTATATTTTCTATATTTTTCTATATTTTCCAATATTACTTTCCTATTAATAGATTTTTCAGTAACCTGGGTTTGCTGCAGGCAAATTGATTATTGCTAATTTGCTGAGTCACTAATACAATATCTGCATTTAGATTTATATGGGATAGTAGTTGTACTGAGTAACCTGTCTAAAAGTGCTTGGATCTGTCATTGATAATTCACATAGGCCACCATTATTTCACTTTTCATCTGTGTAATTGTAGCTTGTTAATGTAAACTGTATTAAAGTATAACACTTAAAGTCATGGGCCATTGCGTAACTTTTTAGTGGGGGCTAAAGCAACAAAAAACCATAAAATATCAAAACTTAGTAAAAAACTTTTAACTTATTAAAAACCTGCTTTTTTAAAAAAAAAAGTTGGAAACAAGATATTTTAAAATGACTTAGAATAAAATATTTCAATGTTTCAAATTAACTATCTAACAAAACTAGTCTAAAATTAAGACTTGAAATGTAATTCTGCAAATTATTTTTAAACCTTGATACTTGACATTTTGCAAAACCTCATTTCTAATCTAGACACAGTAACTGCAACATTACGCAACTTAAAATTAAAATAAAAAAGCTAAAATCAACCTACCCTTATATATATATATATATATATATATATATATATATATATATATATATATATATATATATATATATATATATATATATATATATATATATATATATATATCTATATATATATATATATATATATATATAAATATATATATATATATATATATATATATATATATATATATATCTATATATATATATATATATATATATCTATATATATATATATATATATATATATATAAATATATATATATATAATATATATATATATATATATATATATATATATATATATATATATATATATATATATACCCTTATATATATATATTTATATATATATATATATATATACCCTTATATATATATATATATTTATATATATATATATATATACCCTTATATATATATATATTTATATATATATATATATATATATATATATATATATATACCCTTATATATATATGTATATATACCCTTATATATATATATATATATATATATATATATATATATATATATATATATATATATATATATATATATATATATATATATACCCTTATATATATATATATATATATACCCTTATATATATATATATATACCCTTATATATATATATATATATACCCTTATATATATATATATATATATATATATATATATATATATATATATATATATATACCCTTATATATATATATATACCCTTATATATATATATATATATATATATATATATATATATATATATATATATATATATATATATATATATATACCCTTATATATATATATATACCCTTATATATATATATATATATATATATATATATATATATATATATATATATATATATATATATATATATATATATATATATATATATATATATATATATACCCTTATAGTGTAGTCGAAAGAGCGTTTTAATGTAAAAAAAGTCTCTTACGACTACAATTTTAATTACCTCGTCTCTTAAGCTGTTTTTGATTGTCATCGAAATGTCAAAGCAGTTAATTTATGCGGAAGTAGATTAAATTTAATTGTTTTTTAAAAAATTTTTAAAAAACCGCAATTATAACAACTAGAAAGTTTTTTTTAATTAGTGGTGTTTTTGTTATTGATTTAATAAAAAAACATTTTTAAAACATGCGTAAATGTTGCTACATCGACTATCTTATAGCCTGACTCGCAATGGAGTGCTGCTACATCGACTGACAAATAGCCTGACTCGCAACGGAGTGCTGCTAAATCGACTGACAAATAGCCTGACTCGCAACGGAGTGCTGCTACATCGACTGACAAATAGCCTGATTCGCAAGGGAATGCTGCTACATCGACTGACAAATAGCCTGACTCGCAAGGGAGTGCTGCTACAACGACTGACAAATAGCCTGACTCGCAAGAGAGTGCTGCTACATCGACTGAGGGTTTGGTTTGGCCAGGCAGTCTATCAATTAAAAAAAAAAATTTAATTTTTAAAACTTTTTCTGGTCTGGTTTATTAACGCGCTCTTTAAAACTACAGTTTATGGGAAATATTTTTTGATGCCACGCAAGAGACATGCAAGAGTATATATATATATATATATTATATATATATATATATATATATATATATATATATATATATATATATATATATATATATATATATATATATATATATATATACCCTTATATATATATATATACCCTTATATATATATAATATACCCTTATATATATATATATATATATATATATATATATATATATATATATATATATATATATACACCCTTATATATATATATATATATATATATATATATATATATATATATACCCTTATATATATATATACCCTTATATATATATATATATATATATATATATATATATATATATATATATATATATATATATATATATATATATATATATATATATATATATCAGGCCTAGCAATGAATAAAAACTGCCCGACGCATAAGCACAACGTGATTTTTGACGTCATTAAATTCTTTTTATTTGCTTCTCATATTTATCGACATTAACTGCACCAATTTACTTAATTACCGCAAAACTACTTTAAATCATAGTCATAATATACATAATATCTTATATTATGACTATATTTAAATCATTAATGTAGAAATGTTATCATTTAAAAATGTTTTGAAATGTTTCGTTTTTTAAAATGTAAAAACATTTGTTTATTTTCTCGACGTTTGACACGTTTTGTCTATACTAAACAATTAAAAAACATAACTAAACATTTAAAAAAGATTATAAGATATGCTAATATTTGATTTTTTTTTTTTCTCAAATATGTAGTTTAAAGTTTTTCAAATAATTATTTTTTCTTTTTAAAAAGTCAGCGAGTAATAAACTGGAAATTTTGATATTGTACGATTAAAAACTGTGCAAAAGCTAATATTTTTACCAGCGATTTTATATAATATTTTTTTGTTTATTTTTATTTATTTTCATAAAGCGGTTGATAAGCACAATCACTCGTATTACTAAAAAACTTTAACAAACGTTTTGAATAGATTTTTAATGTTTAAAAGGAATTTTATTTCTAGTAAAATAAAATAAAATGTTAGAATTAAGCACGCTTCGTTGAGTTTCGGTAACTTTTAACAAAAAAGCGATTGTTATTATTTAAGTAATTTTTTTTGAGTTACTTTTACAAAAATTTTAATAACTGTTCTTTTTTATTCAATCAAGTAGAATACGTTTTAATATTATTCCTTTTATTTTTTTTTAATTTACGCTTACCAATTTTTAAAATGTTTCCTCAAAATTACTTTTAAATACTTTAAATACATTTAACAGTTAATAAATATTTTTAAATCTATAGAATAATTTTAAAACCTAACAAACCCCCATAAAATAATTATTTAAGTTAAAAATCTAAAACTAAAAGCAAGTATTTTTGTTCAATTTTATTGATAACTTTGCTATTGCTGAACAATTTTATTAAAATGTTAGCTTAAAAAGATTTAAACTTTTTTTCAAAATCTAAATTTTTCTACTTGTAAATAATGAGCATATTTAATTTTTTTGCAAATCAGACTTTTATATCAACTGCATGCGGTTTTTAAAATACTTTATTTAATGTTAAAATAATCGTAAATTCCTTCATTAAAATTGCGCTCTAAAATATCTTTAAATATACTCAAACAAAAATTTTTTTGCTCGACGCAAATAGCCCTAGCTACACGCAAGATCGCTCTTGGACGACGTAAAATTCACATCGCCCGACGTTTTATCGCAAGGCCTGTGTATATATATATATATCTTGCAGCCATTATACCTAAAGACTCCAGGTTTAAAAAGTGATTGTTCCTCTAACCTAAAAGTCTTAATTTTTTTACCAATAGAAGTCCATAAGCGTTTTTTATATTATTAGAGTTCCTGGATACAAAAAATAGGAAGAAGTAATCTTTTTGTGACTTTCAAATCCAGAGTCCTTTTTGGGATTAAAGCAGGGATGAGGAGGCATTCCTACTTTATTTACATTACTATTAACTGTAATTTACTAATTTCCTACATTAGTACAAGTGTCAAGTTGTTTTTCAAAAAATTATTTTAGAATAGTGTGATCATGAAAAATAGACCAAGTATGGTTTAATATTATTTGCTTTAAGATTAAAAAAAAGTAGAAAAAAATATATTATTTTTGAAATATAGTTTTTATGTATAAATGCTAGCTGAATCTCATAGCGTATAATTTTTTTTAATTCTGTTTTTTTTAGATAGCATACACATCACCAGTTAGCAGTATAACTACTAGCGAGTCTTTGCAAGGAGCAGGGTTCAGCACAACACAGGTACTTCTTCGCTTTGTATTATGCTTATCATTTTCAATATTTTTTATAGTTTAGCTTTTTTTGAGATTTTAACGTCTGCATTAAAAAAATATTTTTTTTGTATTATTATAAATGTATTTTATATTAGTTTTATTAACATGAAGAGTTTTATTAACATGAAGAGTTTTATTAACATGAAGAGTTTTCAGTAAAAACTTGCAGATTTTTATTTCTCAATTTTAATTCACATTTCATTTATTATTTCTTTATTTGATTTTGTTTTTATCTAAATTTTTGATAGTAGAGGCATCAGCAACATCTTGCCATGCATTCTAAGTATTAGATATTTTTTATAAATATGGAAGATGAAGGCCAATATTCATTTTTTAAATAAACATTGCAAGCTGTTAAATCTAACAATCCGACTTATAAGGTTACTATAGCCTTGCTACCACCTAATTGCAAATAAAAATATCACAATGGTCTTGAAAAAGAAAGTTACAAAGTTCAATACTGGCTCTAGCCATAAAATCTAAAGTTACATCAACCTGCAACTTTCTGCATAAAAACTATTCTGTGATACTCTAAAACAAGACATCAGGTCTTCTTGGAGTGTCTATTATATAAGAAAAGCATTAAGCAGAAGTAAAAATTTGACTTTGTTGCTTGCCAATATTATAGTAATAGTAATTATTGTGAGATTATCTTAGGATTATGCTATTCAACTATAAGCTATCAACAAATAAAAAAATTATTTATAACGATTGTTTAAAATAAACGTTGTTTGTGTTAATAAAAAAAAGGAATTAAACATAAATCTTTTTTATGTAGCCATATATTTTTTATGATAAATTTAAATGTTTGAAACTATTTTTCAATATCTTTCTAAAAATCTTTAAGGCAATTATTTTTAAAAAAAACTTTATTTAAAGTTACTTTAAGTTATGAATAAGTTCAAAACTTTTTTGTGACTAGTTGCACAAAATGAGTGTTGCACAAAATGAGTGTAGCACAAAAGGAGTGTAAATTATAGAATATAAATTAACTTTATTTACTTATATAAGCATGTATTTTGTTGATTAATTTAAATGTATTGAAGTATTTTGTTATGTTTTTATTTATTTATTTTTATTTTTTTGCAATTTTTTGGAAAAAATAAATGTTTTTAAAATTTAAAAATATTATAACACTTTTTAATAATTTAAATAAAATTTGTTCATTTATTAAACAATCATTAGAAGTAATTTGTTACTTAATGTAAAAGCGTTTTGCATAACCTTTAGTTAAGTGTTTCAAAACATAAGTTTTAAAGTAATTTTTTCTCAAACGCAATTAAAAAAGTAAAAAAAAAGTAATTTGTGCTTTGAGTTTTAATTTTTTTGATTTTTATTTTAGGGCTTCCAGTTAAAACCTTTTTTTTAAAGTTCGAGCCTGATCATGTTCAAACTATTACGAAAAAAAGTTTGAACTATTTGGAATTTTTTATTTTAGTTATGTTTAACCAGACAAAAGTCATACAAAGTATGCGTAAAAGTATTTATTAGGATAAAAGTAAATAACATCAATGAGTACTTTTCATAGTTTGCTTTAAAAAAGTTAGTGCATCTAAAGTTTCCTCATTTAAAGAACTTTTTATTTTAATAGCAAAAAATCCAAGTCTAGAAAAAGCTCCTTCAGCTTCCTTCAGCTTCTCCAGTAGGAGGAATTGTTTGAAGACCTTAGAAAAGTAATAACTAAATACTTGGACCTAACTTTGCTAGCTTCAAAAACAGACATTTCCTTTTGTAAAAGATTTGTTCCAATTTCCTGATGATCAATATCGGAGTCTGATTGTTCAATAAAAAGTTTGGTTTGTTGAGCTAAATTTAACTCATTTACTTTCAGATTTTTTCGTTTTACATTATTAGAGTGATTTCTCCGGTTATCCGTTTCAAAAACCGAATAATAGTTCTCATCAATTTGCGGTTAACCGACTATTTGGTAAATTAGTGACGCTTTCTGAATACAGGATCTTCTTAATTTCAACGAACGTATCATTTTAAACTAATTTTTTAAAAATTAATGTTAAAGTGTACATTTTCAAGACAGTTAGTGAATACAGTCCTATATTATATATTTATAACAAAACATGGAAAAAGATATATATTTTTTATATTATATTATAATATACCTTTTTAATTACATAATTAAAAAAGGTAGGAATAATGTACAAGTATAGTTTAAATGTTTTAATATCAGCGGATGTTTTAAAATCATTCTCATATAAAAACATTTGATTTGGAAAAATGAGATATTATGAAGTAAATTTTTTTTTAGCGTGTTTTTTAAAAACTCATTGTTATGCGGGCATAGTTGGAAACATAGATAAACTTGAATGTACTCAAAACAACTTGTTGCGGAAAGATAATATAAAGAATATTTGCTAACACTAAATACTGCCAAATCTATGAATAAACAAATTCTATTGGTTCAAAAAATACGCTGAGTAAGTGAATTAGAGTTCCAGAATATTCTGAAGAAACTTTTTTAAAAATGTACTGCTTGAGTTGTAAAAGTAATAAATAAATCTTTGAGATTTTTATTATAAATTGTTTTAAGAATATATTATCAAACAAAACTGATTAAATTAACATTTAAATTAATAAAAGAAATATATTATAATCTTTGATAAATTAACATTTATCAAACAATAATCGTCATAATTACGTTGTTACTTTCTATAATTTTTCGTAAAATTTTTAAGTTGGTTTTTATTATTCGAAAATAGATATTGGATATTTGAACAAAATCCGGTTAACCAGATTTTGTTTGAATATCAAATTATATTATCAGTTATACTATTTACTTCCTTGTCAACATCAGAGCTATCGTCAGATGGCTGAAATAATCCCTGAATGAGACTAGTAGCAAGATTAGTAATCTTTTTTTTTTTTTTTAATTTTGTTGCCACATTGGTCATCTTTATTTTAGACATTAGAAAAGTATTTCATGAGATAAATTAAATGAATGTTTCTTCTTTCAATTGTTCTATATTCAAATATCTGTTTAACAAGTTGACTTACAGGTGTATGAGCTTCATGAAGTTTTTTTTTTTTAAATTCAATCACAGTTTCAGAATACAAAAGATCAGCCTCTCCTTTTGAAAGAGTATTAATGGACAATTTTAGTGGTTTTAAAGCAACACAAAGTTCATTTATGACAAGCTTATTTTTAGTTGAAGGAAAATCAATATTCATACCAATCAGAACTATTTTTCTTTCTGTTTGCACATCCAAAAAACGTTCAAGCATATCAATAGTGCTGTTCCATCTTGTCCTTGAAGCACAAAACAAAGTTTTTTCTTTTCAAACATTTCAATTATATTTGGTTAAAGTTCATCATCATTGCTCACTGGTGATTTAGGAAATATTTTTAACCAATAATCTTATTTTTGCCACAGTTTCTTGATATTCAAGTTTCAATAATAGAATAGAATCTTCACTAACTTCATGAAAAGTTTGAAAATTATCACCAACTTCAGTCCCATCTTAGTCCCATCTTAAATTAATTGTTGATTACCATCAACATGGTTTTTATCAGAACCATGTTTTTTGCACAGAGCACATCAATCACACATAAATGAGTAGCCTGGTTGTAACTAATTTGATGTTCAGGTTTAGTGTCGTGACCAATTTTTTTCATTAAGCTAGCTCCATCAGTAACAGAAGCTACAATGTCTTTGTTCTAATTTAATTCGAATGAATTAAGCTTATCACTGATCAATTTAATTGCTTTTGTTGCTGGGATTGTATCTTGGGTTCTTATCGTTCCAAACGATTGAAATCCTTCATTATGATGTAGATTTAAGTTCATATATCTTCTGTTTTTTAATTAAGTATGCTTATCAAATGTAAGACTAAATTTACATTTATTATCAAGTTTATATAAATAAAGTGAAAATAACAGCTACTTAATAATTATGTAAAAAATAAAAATAATAATGTACAAAGGATACTGCAAAGAAATGACTGGTTCCAGGTACTTAAAAAATTGCTTTTATCAGGGATGCAGAGTCCTAAAAAGGACTCTATATTTTAAAATCACAAAAAGAATACTTTATAGTTTTTGGTATCCTGGAGCTCTAAAAATATAAATAAGCTTATGAACTACTGTTGGTAATAAAATCAAGACTTTTAGGTTAGAACAATCAATTTTTTAAACCTGAAGTCCTCAGATATAATGACGGCAAGGATTCTGGGGCTTCAGGCTTAAAAACAATAAGTTCCAATCCATTAAATAATATGATTTTTTTTTCTTATAGCAGATCATAAGTCAACCAATATGTTCAGAGCTTTTGGACACCAGAGACCAGGAAAAAATAGAGATATAAAGCCAGAGTCCTTTTAAGACTCCACATCCCTGGTTTGTATTCAAAGTATCATAAGAATGTTAATTATTTAGCCTATAAATGACAATATGTTCTGTGGTCAGTTGTTTTAATCTAATTATGTAATGTGTAAGTAGTTGCCAAAAATTGCTTTAAATAGTCTTATTTGTTATAACTTTTTTTAATACTGTGTTCATTTGTTATTATAAAATGTTACATTGTATAATACTTGTTGCAATAATTATTCCTTTATTCCAGCATGATAAAGATGTTTGGTTTCCAGAGACATTGTTTTGCAGTATCCATATTTACACTATTGGTCAACACCAACATTCTAACCATTTAATTTTGATGCCTTATCCCAAACAAAATTAAAATTTTAAAATTTTTCCTTTTTCTAAGGATAGGGGCCATCCATAAAGGACGTCATCCAAATAGGGGGGGAGGGGGTCGAGTTAAAAAAGACAAAAAAGGATAAAGGGAGGGGGGAGGTTGTCAGAAAAGGACGTCACTTTATAGATTTTTTATTTTATTTTAATTAACATGGAAAACTACGTAAACATGTGTTTTTGAGAAGATAATGTTTAATGAGAATATTTTTAATTTTATTTTTCAAAGGTGTAGCAGCAGATTCAATCATCATTGCAAGATGAAATAAATTTTTTTGGAGTTAAAATAGGGAGGGGGGTCAGGATTTTATGACGTCCTTTTCCAGGGGGTATAGGGGAAAAGGACAACCGGTGACAAAGGAGGGGGGAGTTGTCAAAAATTGACTAAAAAATGGTGGCGTCTATTATGGATGGCCCCATAAGACAAAACTGTTTGCACTATCTGCTTTTCACTAATTTATCTCCTGAATCTTATGACCACACTCTTTTTTTATCTCAAAAAATCAGGTTAATTTGTTGACTATGATAGAAAGTACGTTTATTACAAACTTCGAAGGTTCATAACATTTTTATACAATTTAAGATATCACAAAAACATGTAGTTACAGCGTACTAAATGATTATGTAAAATATAAAACATACTAAAGATTTCGCAAAGAAATAAGTGGTTCCAGGTATTTAAAAAATTGTTCAAGTACTATCTCTGTTGTCACCTCTAGTGCTTAACCTGCCAGTTTAAGTGACAGAATATGAAAAATACAGTAATTTTTAGTATTCTTATAGAAGGAAAAGCAATATGCTAAAAAGTTTTAAAAATTTGGACTAATGCAACGCTTTTTTTAACAATTGTTCTAGAAAATGTTACAATGCTTGAATAAATTAATATATAAAAAAACAAATTTCTAAAAAATCATAATCATATAATTTTCTCCATGATCTTTTTTATCTAAATATCAAAAAACCCTGCAATAATGCTGATTTGTCCATACAAATACTATCAAGTCTGTTTTAGACAGGCCTTTCCTTTCAAAGTTATTGTTGATTGGCTCAAATTGTTTATGTGAACTACTATAAGGTATGTTGTTTATGTGAACTACTATCAGGTTATCTGAACTACTATCAGAAAATGTAATCAGGTGATACTACATTTTCTGATAGTAGTTCAGATATAAGTACATTTTCTGATAAATTGATTTACCCATTAAGATTGGAGGGTGAAAAACTCTAGTATTTAATGAAATATACAATTGAAATATACTAGTTAGGGTCCAATAATAGACAATACACATTTTTTCAATATATCAGGGCCATCGTTACCATGAAAACTGAAGTGGGTCTATTATGTCCTGTCAGATAAAAGCTTTTTTTTAAAAAAATTTAAATAAAGAAAAAACAAAATGTTTGTTATTAAATACATTTCAATTAAGTTTATCTAAATGTTATGATATTTCAAAAACTGATTTTTTCATTTATGCACACAAAAAAATTACGAGTGGGGCATTTAAAATGTGGTATTGACTCAATCTTTTCTTTTGAGCTAACATCAAATCTTTTTGTTACTTCTTCCAGCTCCTATCATCGATATCCTATTCAATTTTAGAATCTATTTTATTATTTTCAATGGCAGTATCATTATCAGCCAACTCATTATCTGAATGAAGTATATAGTTTTCATTAGTCGCTGTTCAATTTCAATAAGATCAATAATAACATCTTCAATATGGGAATCAAAATCAGATTATTCAGTTTCACTAAAATCACCTGAAAGAAGCTCTTGTAAAATTATTTCAACAGCTTCTATAGCACTGTATCAAATCTTACGACTTATTTGATTGTATTTACACTTAATTTACACTTTATTATTCTAAACAAAAAATATATTTGGCTTTAAAAATATTAGATCGTAACGCCTGATGTGACTTATTGGTCCCACTTTAATTTTCATAACAAAGTAGTGTATGCAAACCTTTTTAAAACTTTAACTGAAGTTCAAATATTTAGTTACACATTAAAGAAGCTCTAAAAAATTAAATGTAATTTTAAAACATGACTAAAAACCATGTGAAAAGTTATACAATGTTATTATAGGAAAAAAAAAACTGGTTAAAGAGAAATATTGTAGTTAATGCAGTGGTACAAATAAGTCCTGTCAGTCCACAAAGGGTTAACTTTCAACTGGTATAGGTGTTTCTTTAATGTTTTTGTGATTTATGTGAATTTCTGATATAGATTTTTCCCTATTTTTGTATGGACTTTAATATGAAGTAGTTCTAATCTCCAAAACTTTATAGAGATAAAAAAACTTTAGGAATTTTTTTTTTTAAGCCTTGTCCACCTATTAACATAAAAACTCTAAGTTCAAAAATTCAGGACCTAATATCTTCTGTTTTCTCTATGGAGTTTATATTCTCTATGAAGTTCTTCAGCATTTAAGGATCTCTAAGAATTCAAAGTCTAGGTAAAAATAATGAAAGTTTTACTTTGAACCCCAGGGTTTTATTTCAGCTATACTAAACTTAGTAAATTAGTAATTAAATTTAATAATGTATAAAAAAAAGTATTTATATAAAATGCATTAAATTTTTTTTTTTTTTAAGGCTTCTAAAGTGATAATAAATACATCTGTTAAAAAGTGCAAGAATGATTCATCCATTGATATAAATTCAACGGATGATTTAACTGCAGAAGCACCTTCGCTGATCATGAGTGAAAATGCAGATGATAGCACTCACCATAATACTGTTCGCACACTTTCTGGTGCAAATATCACAATAAATAGCCTTCAACACACTAATCAAAAGATTATTGAAACATTCCCTGAGCAGTCTTCAACAGTAGCCTACTATGCTGTTCAAGACAATGAAAATAGTGAAAATGAGCAGGAAGAGAGTTTAGAAGAAGTTGAGATGAGTGATCAAGCCGAGTTACTTACTCAAATTATTAATTCTCAACCAGGTATGACTAAATGGAGCAGTGAAGATGTAAAACCTAATGTTACGAGTAGACGCACACTTACAACAATTACTGCAGATACTTTAAATACAAAGAATGTAAGTGGTCCTGATGCAAATTCAAAGTTTCATTGTGATATTTGTAATAAGATGTTTGTTTCCAAACGCAATGTTCAAAGACACATGTTATCACATACAGGTGAAAAACCATGGATGTGTGAATTTTGTTTTAAACGATTTCGTCAAAAGCCTCATTTAGAACAGCACGTTAATATTCACAAAGGTTATTATTTTATCTTTTTATTTAATTATTTATTTCAATACTTGTCATGTAATACAGGCAGTCATCAATTGATGATTAGCTTTTTTTTTTTAATGTTAATATGATATCCCATAATCTGGCCCATCAAATTTGACTGCCAAGGGTTGGTAAGGGTTGAACTTTTATGATAAGGTTTAAAAAAACAAAAATTTAAAATATTAACATCAAAATCTTAGTGAAAAAAATTGAATGTTTTTGATTGGTTGAATGGAAATAAAAGTTAAGATTTTGTTAATAGTAAAAAGAAATACCACAAATTTGTGATTGTTCAGGAATAATAAAACATGGTTTTAAGACAAATTTGAAAAAAAATGTCAAATTTTTTCACAATTTTTCAAGAAAAATTAAAAGCAAGAAATATGAACTAATTTATACAGTTCATAAACCCAAAAATTTTTTTTTTCTAAATAACTTTTGAGGAAGCACTTTCAATTCGACTAATAAGCATAAACAATGAAACTTTATTAAATGAAAATGAGAATTTATATTTTTAATACTATTCTTTTATTTTTGAGTAATTTTTTCTAAAAATAATAGTCATTATTTTGTGACAGAATTTTAAAACAGTTGGTAATGACATTTTTTTTTTTTTTGGTAAAGTTCTCTTAATTCAAGTCTGCTTTTTAAGAATTAAATAGAAAGGTATATATTGTTACTCTGCCAACCCAAATCTGCAATAGAAGATGTATCTACTTCAAATTTAGGTTGGCACTCTACTATGTATTGTAGTCTAAATTATTAAAGTTTTCTATACGTTTATATCTAGAGATTGTTTTCAGAAGAATTAAAAAAAAAAAAATTATCAAATGTATATTCTTATTGTTGTAATAGATTATTTTTTTATACATAAATACTACCCAAACCTTCTTTTGATGTATATACTAAATACTGTTGGCAGTGATTGCACTCCAAATCATAATAACTGGACATAGCTTAACAGAAGGTGCAATGTTTTGAAGATTAAAGCTGTCTGTGGCAAACATTTTTGTGTGCTGCAAATTTGCTAAACTTTTACTTTGTCTGAGAACATTACACAATGCCAGCGCTCGAAATAATAGCCGATCAATGATCAGCTATTTTTAGGGAAATTTCAAAAAATTCAAGTGAAAATAACCTGTTTTTGTAAAAAAATTACATTTGATCGACAAGTTTTGAAAATCTATTTTGAGTGTTGCGATGCCATTTTTAACAGTCCAATCAAGTCCTTGTGTTCTTTGCAAAAATTTAGGCACAGGATTTTCCTGTGTTGGTACCAACTGTTAAATTAGTAAATAATTTGATGAACTAATTTAAATAAAGTTTGAGATACCCAAGTTGTCTTCAAACAATTATTTGTTCAAACTTGCGGTCTCCCTTTAAATGTTGTACATATGCACCTTTAGCAAATGATGTTGTAGCCTTACAATGATTGAATTATCACAATTGCTCCTGCAACATGATTATTTAGTGTGATGTCGGCACGCATATTTTGCATAAGTAATTTTCTATAACAATTATGAGTAGTTAGATCTTTTTGATTATAACTAAATATAAAAATCTTCTATCTTCTTGTAATGATAAGGATCTTCTAATGATGCCCTTTCACTTTTAGGCAAAGTGCAAAAACGCATTTTAAACTTAGTTGGACCTGCTTTTGCAGCCATCCTCCAACCATTATTACATCATCATAATGTTGCTTTTTTTTCTCTCTTTTACAAATACTATAATGGCCACTGCTTTAAAGAGCTAGTGTCTCTTGTGCCATCTTCTAACATTCATTCTCGTGTTACTCATCATTCAATCAAGTCTCATCCTTTTTCTGTGACTGTTCCTAAGTGATCCAAAAACTCTTATTCCTCTAGTTTTTTTCCACAAACATTAATTCTTTGGAATTTGCTTCCTTCATCTTGCTTTCCTGAATCATATAATTTGCAATCTTTTAAGCTGTCTGTCAATCGTTATCTTGCTCTACAATCTTTTTTTTTTCTCTTCCAGTAACTTTTGACTTTAATAGTGGTTGCTTGCAGCCTTGTTGGAAGTGAAGATGTTTAATATATATATATATATATATATATATATATATATATATATATATATATATATATATATATATATATATATATATATATATATATATATAAACACACACACACACACACACACACACACACAGGTTTGGTCAGGAAGCGGGAGCGATCGCTCTTGAATACTGACTGCAGAAATAATATTTAGTTGCAAAAAACCGTCCATGTTTTTTAGTCGTTTCGAGAACATTTTAGTTTATGAATGTAACAATAAATTTTTGTTTTACGGACATACATGGAAACTTACATAAACTTGATTGTTCTTAAAACATCTTGATGCGGAAGAATAAAAAGAATATTCAAGAACACTAAAAACCTGCCAAATCTACGAACAATCTAATTCTATTGGTTTAAAAAATAAGCTGACTAAGAGAAACAAAGCTCTAGAGTATTCTGTTAAAATGTTTTAAAAATTGTATTATTTACAATTTGTTACGTTTTGACATTTGTAGCAAAAATTGTTTTAAGAATATATTATCAAACGAACGTTAATACTATGGCTCATTCTCTGAACCACATCTGCAAAGCCATAAATCTTTTAAACTATTATTATTTGTTTACAAAAATAAATGTTTTATAATATATATTTTTTAAATTGTCAAAATTTTGAAAGTTTATTATAAGTTATAGATTTTATTAGTATATTCTTATTTTTTTATTTAAAAAGTATGAATTTTTTGATGTAAATTTAATTTTCGGTATCTGTTTTTTATTCTAATGTAATCTTTTAAAGCAATTTTTATAATTTACTTTGTAAACAAAGAAGTTCAACAATAATTGCATTTTTAATGAAGTTATTAATAATCATCAAAGTTAATAAAACTAATTATGAAATAAACATATATAAAGTTTCTAGTTACTAAACACAAGCATGCATTCATAAACAAGCACCGTGCCTGAGGTTACAACAGAACACAATTATATATAGCAAAATATAAGATAAAGAAAAGTTTTTAGATATTGGTTTACTAACTCTAATTATTTTCGCTTCAGTTGCCATTCTTAAAAACTTGTTATACTTATTACTGCTTTAAATACTAATTAAAATTTAAAAGCCCACTCACTAAACATCAGCGATATTGTGAAGCAGTTTTGCCTCCTCATCATAGAATATCGTAAACCTTTTTAGTTAATTTCTATCTAGTTAATTTAATTTCTACTGTAACAGTGATGATTTAATTCATTTGTTCATCTTGCTAAAAAGAATTAGTTCAAATATGTTAAATTTTTCAAACTACTCAAAGCATAAAGTAGTTATTAAAAAAATTTACTTTTTTATTTATAAAATAATTTAGCTTAAATAAAACTAAAAGTTGCGTTGGTTTTATTAGAATCTTGTTAGTTTTTTCGGGGCCGGGGGCTATTTTTATTTTGAAGGCCTTTTTATGTACCACAGCATAAAAATGACTAAAAAAAAAATCCCCTAACATTGCGGGGCCCAGGGTTATAGCTTCCTCTAACCCCAACCCTCCTTATTCTAGCACTGGAAATTAAACACGAGTATATAAATAAAAATTATATTACACACTTTGTTAAATAAAGAACATTTGTTTCCCTTTTAAACAATCGTCAGACGTTACTTTATATAAAAAACGTCGCCTAATTTTATAAATAAATTATAAAAAAGTGATGTTTCGAAAATATTTGTTCTAAAAGTAATTTATTTTGCTTTAAGTTTTTTCGCGTTAAAAGTTATTTTATTTTCCTAATTTTTCTTTTTTTTTTTTCTTTTTTTTTTTTCTTTTTTTTTTGTAATTGTCTCTCATCGATCCAATTAATCTTTAGCGCTTTTTTTATGCTTTTTGAAATGTTCTCAAAATGACTAAAAAATCTGGCCAGTTTTTCGCAAATAAAAATTATTTCTGTGGTCAGTAATTGAGAGCAATCGCTCCCACTTCCCGACCAAGTGTATATATAAATAGTATATATAATAGTAATAGACCAACTGTATATATAAATAGTTGGTGCATAAATTTTGAATATGAAGAAACTTCATGTATTTGTAAAATGTGGTAATATTTCTAGTTTCTATCAATATTGGCATTTATTTTGAGGTTTTTTATAAATAAGTTCAGTGCTGAATAATAATTGAGGCTGTTGTTTGCATGCTCTTTGGGAAGTTCATTATATGTTTTCTTTAGACACTAGTGAAATCACTTTTTTATAAAGTTGTTATTATTTTATCACTATCTGATTATTACATTATCACCATTTAAGCCATTAACAATTTTAACTCACTATATACAACCCTCGGAAATAGGATCGGCATTGCTGAATGCTGAGCTAACTGTCAACCTGAAAGTGCTTGAGGTCTGCAAAAAATTTCCGACCATGTTTCTATATTTTATGGTCAGACCTTTGTATCAAATAATTTTTGCCGACCTCAAAAAGATTGAGGTCAGCAAATTATTGCCGACCTTATTTTTCCTAATTCCGAGGGTTGCTTTATATAATGCACAACCGCTAATCTCTAGCAGATAAGAAAGCATGTTTCACTGTTTTAATTTGATCTCAAATACACCAAAGAACTGTCAAACATAGCACACGTGTCAAGACTCTAATTAAGTGATCTGTGATATCTGAAAATGCTTCTGGTCTTTAAATTTTTTTTAGTTTTTTAAAAACCGTAAACTCTGTTGTTATTACCAAACTCAATACTGATAATTCAATAGCAAATATTTATGTTAATCTTGAAGTTATGATATAAAATTTCATTATACTTTTTTTTTTTATTGTGTTTCAAAGTTTTAGAAAATTTGTATTTTACACCGAATATTCAATGAATATTCAAGATTTTGAGGAGCATTCCAAAAATAAAAATGATTTTAAATGATAAAAAATTCACCATGATTTCATTTGTAAGAGAAAAAGGACACACACTGACAAAGAATTTAGAATCTAGGATTAGTTTGTGTTTTTAGAATAATTCCCGCAGAAAAATGTGTTGAGCTTGTCAATGATAGGTTAGGTGATTTTAAGCTTTCGATCAAAAATATTTTAGGTATTACCACTGATGGCGCTGCATTTATGACAAAGGTAGGCAGGTTAATTAAAACACATCAGCAGCTATGTTTAGCGCATGGAATTCAGTTGGCTGTTATTGGCGTACTCTACAAAAAACCTAATAATGAGGATAGTCTGCATAATGAAGATGTCAATGTTGCATCAGTTCCTACACCCAGATTTGAGAAAGAGCAGAATTCCACAGATGACAATAGTTTAATTGATGAAGATTATGAAAACAGTTTATTCATTATCTCCACTGAAAACGATGATGATAATTCATCTTTTCTGGTGTATCAGCAAATGTTACCATTAACTACAAAAAATGGCAAAATCCTACAAAAATATGTAAAAGAAGAGTTGGGGAAAGAATTATCTCTGGTTTTAGACTCAATAACGGTTTTAGACTCAATAAACACAATGGAATAGTTTGATGTTTATGATAGAACGTTTTGTCAAATTAAAAAATTGTATTAAAAAGTCTAATAGATTTAAAATTTTGTTTTCAGATGCAGAGTTTAAAATGTTGTCAAATATCCTTTCGATTTTACTTCCTATTAAGCTTACAGTTGAAGCAATCTGCCGAAAAGATGCAACTTTGTTATCTGCAGATGCTGCTATTCAATTTATGATGAAATCAATAACTGGCCATCCATTTTTATTAAGTTATGAATAGAAAGCAGCTTTAAAAGTACGTATTCTTGAAAGACGAACAGAAAATTCAAGTGTTTTGCAATATTACACGATGCAGACTCCAATGAAAATCCAAGTGATGATGAAACCGATAGAGATTATGAATTATTTCTGTGAATGTTTCTGCATCATGTTAAAAATAAATATAAATTTTTATGTTATGAAAAGTAATAAAATGTCACATAAAACTGTTAATTTATTTTTTTGCTTCCTTTCTCCAAAAAATTTCCAATTCGCATGCACAAAAGCTAGATGTTCCCCATGTTCTGCAGTTAGTCAGGACCATGTCAATTAATAATTATTTCCCCTGGTACTAAACAATCTTTCGCTGAACACAGAAGAAGGCAGAGCTCTTAAAATATTTTTGGCAAGGTATGAGAGGTCTAAAATATTATTGCTGCTAGTGTGTTTCTATATACATGTATTTTTGTAATTTTCCCACCATTCTCTTAGACAAATCTAACTAAAGTGTCTCAGCTAATAACCATTGAACTTTAGCTGTTGTTGAATTTCATGTAGCGTGTCCATGGAAGACGGAGAACGATGAAAGTTTGTGACCATTTTTCTAGACTTCATTTCAAGATCATTTACAATCGTTTGCTATTTTAAAAGCTGAAAAAAAACACTTTTAATTAATTTAAAAAAATATATAATAAAATATTTTTTTGTTTTATTTATATAACTATGTATTTTTTATGAGAAATATTTAACTTTTGAACATATTAAATAAATAAAAAATATATAAAAATGTTGAAACAAAGATTGAAAAGGTTTTTTAATGCGTAAATTAAATAGACTAAGCATTTTAGTTTGATGAGTTTTGTTTTAGTTGCGTTATATATATATATATATATATATATATATATATATATATATATATATATATATATATATATATTTATTATTTTGTGTTTTTGCTTTAACTAAGTATTTTTTTTATTTTCTCTTTCGTTGATATTTATTATTATTTTAATTTTTTTTTTCAGATTAGTTTAGGTAAGTTTTTGTAGCGCGTTTTTAAATTTTAAAAATATGCCGTGGTCAAATCGTTAAAACATTTTTTTTGGCGTGGTCATATAAAGACGTGAAATCGCACGTCTTCCTGTGAAAGCCTGGTAACTGTAACACCATTGCTAACGGATTCTTTGTTATATCTTTCTCTTTACTGTTTGAACGCTTTTAGTTTTAAACTGCCGCATTTGAGACCGACAGTTTTTTTTACAGAAAGAGAAAACAAAACAAAGAATAATGAAAAAAATAAAGTTATTTTTTTTGCTATAATAAATGATTTTTATATCTAGATTTTTTTAGTATCTTTCTTACCCTAACTCTCAGTTGATGTATGCACTGAAGCCCCGCACATGCCCTTTTCAGTATGATGGTAATAAACTGAGATAGTAAGCTAAAATAAGAACTAAATACTTCCATAAATAATTAAATGTTTATATATTTTTCTAAGGAATAAAAAATGCAGTGTGCTCAATCTGTGGTAAAGCGTTTAATCATCGATCTAATCTTGTTACCCATATGGCGACGCATTCAAGTGTCAGACCTCATTCTTGTATTGTATGTGGTGAAAATTTTAAATTAAAACACACTTTAGCTAAGCATATGATGGTTCATACAAAACAAGATATTGAAAAAAGGCATCAGTGTCAGGTAATAATAAATTTACAAAAAATAAATTATATACTCAGTGATTTTTGCTGATCATCATTTAATTTGCATAATAACATATCAAAAACTAAACAAAGTAATTGGAAGTTTGTTTTTCTTCTACTTTGTCATTAATTCGTACTAAATTATAAACATGTATAAATAGTTTTATAGTAGCATAAAAGTTCAATAGAGTAATATTTTAGACTACTTTTGATATTTGTGTGTCGACCTTTAATTTTCTAGAAAAGTTTAATAAGGAAAATAGTGTTATTTGAAAGGCTTACTTAACAAAAATGAAGTGAAAAACCAAAAATGTTGATTAATAAATCGGATAAGTATTGTTTGAAAAGTTCACTCCAGAGGAGTAAAGCAGTTTGCTAGCTCTTCTAAAAGAAAAGTTTGTCTTGAAGGATTGCCAAGAAAAAATAATTAATGGTATAATGTAATGTATTTTAGTCAAGGAGAATTAACTCAATTAAAAAAAAAATTATATTTTTACAATAAAATACTTTATTATATATTAGTTCTATATTGAAAAAAAATATTTTATTTATTTAATCAATTTTATATCCTTTGTCTTGGCACTTTCAGACTTAAGACCTAAATTACTTTATATTGATCCCATAATTGGTGCATTTATTTACTTTAATTTTTGTATTTATGACTTATTTTAAGATTTGTAAAAGAAGTTTTCGTGATAAATCATATCTTGCAGAGCATGAAACGATTCACAATAAAGAGAAGCCATGGCAATGTGATATTTGTAAAAAATCGTTTTCATTTAAAAGAAGATATCAAATGCATCTAGAAGTTCATCAAAGTAAAGATGGCGGAGAGGAATTTGTATGTCATTTGTGTCCTAAAAAGTTTAAAGGAAAGATATATTTACAAAAACACTTAGAGCGTCATGAGTATAAACGCAAGCGAAGAAAGAAAATAAAGCTTGAGAAAGAAGGTTTTATTGGAGATCCTGCAGTAGAATTAAACGTTTCTGACGGTCTTGACGGCGACGACTTAGAGGTTGCTGGAGAAGACGGTAACGCTAAAAAATTTTATATAAAATGTCGATGTTCACTGTCTTTCTCCTTATAGTATTTTTTTCTTTTTTTAAAGGTAACATCAATTCTGTAAATTTTTTAGATGACATTGATTTGAGTATGTCTGAAGTCGATGTAAAGGCTGAAGATGACCTCGAAGAAGGCGAAAAAATAGACCACACTGACGACGATTCTTCACCAGATGATGGTTCTCATGTGTTACGCATTAATGCTGAAGAACAACCAAATTCTGATCCTAGTATGGTTGTTGCTGGAATGCTACCTATATCAGGCATGAACATGGAGGATGCTACCTATGTTGCACTAGCACAACTTACTCAAGCTGCCATTGAAAGCTCCCCTATAGGAGAATCTGGCGGTGTTATTTTAATGAGCTACGAGGAAATACAAAAAAGTATGCAAGAGCTGCATGCTCATCACCACGGTGGTGTTAATGACGACGATTTACAGTATAATATTCAAGTGACTCAAGTATCTGATGAAAACGTTAAAAGACTCCAAGAAGCTCTTAAAGACAATAGCTTAACCGCTCTAGGTAATGATTGCAGTAGTATACGCGTAATTCAGCAGCCAATTCAGCAATCAGTTGGTTCTATACATGTTTTAGACAATAATGGCGATTTGCATGTAATTGAGACTAGTGAGCTACACTAAAAGAATAATTTAAAGATTTCTCAAATGTTTTATGGTGTTCTTTGTCTAAATTGTATATATTTGAGTTATGAGACGGAGAACCATATTTTTTTTTCTTATTATTAGATATTCTGACTGGTGTTAACTTGCACTCGAAACGAGAAATAATTTTTTTTTTTTAATTCGTTGGTTTTTAGTTAAAGTGAGATTTTTTTTTTTTCAGAAAAAAATTTATAAAAAAGTATTTAGTAATTAGACCCATAAAATGTCAGATTGTTCTTGCTATAAACTAGATTTATTAATATGCATGCTAAAAAACTAAACCGAAGTAATAAAAATTCATTTAATATAATAAGTCAGAATTGTGTATAAACACTTATTGAAAGTATTCGAAATCATATTTCTTAAATTATAATTCGTAATTTCTTGAAACTTTCTTTTACTGGTGTACCCCAGAGTTGATTAAAAAGACAACCATAACATTTTATTAACAAATCAAAAAAAAATGTTTTCAAAACTACTTAAGTCTAAGGTTTCATTAGCTGTATATCATAATTCCATTTATTTAATATGAAGTTTATAAAAAAAGTTGTTGTTTGCCGTTTCGTTGCGCCATTTTTAATGTTTATATTTAAATATTGCCTAAATACTTTTATACTACCATATTTTTAAATGATTATAAACGTATCTATTTGATCTATCTTCAACGGATGAGTGGAAACTCACCCTTAGAAGAAGAAACCATAGATTTCTGCGTAATGTAAACGTAATGTAAAAATTTTTAGAACTAAATGATTCATAAAAACGAGAAACCTTGTTTTAAATTATACCCACTTTTGGGTAATTTTAATGGAATAAGTGAGACAAATTGAGATTTCTTGTTTAGAAAAATATTACCTACCATACTTGTTTCATCTTGTGTCATTTTTTTTTTTTTTTTTTACCATTTTGAAGAAAATTTTTTGAATGGGGTTTACAACTTTAACGGGTGTATACCACCATCATCTATAAAATAACCACCATAATCTATAAAGGACGAGTAAGTTTTGAAAATTGTTTAATATACAATTAAACTTAAGTTAAAAAGTTACATTTTTTTCAACCATAAATATTACAAAATAATTCCTAGCGATATATTATCGACTTTGATTTCCAAACAAGTAGTTTTTAATTTGTATTCTTCGTACAATAAATCAAATTTGATTAGCTTGGGTTAAATTCAGCCTAAAAATTATGTTCATCATCTTCATCATTGTCCTCAAAGTTATTAGGGTGTAATAAAGTGCTCCACAATTCTTGTGACCTTCAAAAGTTTTAAAGATGACCAATGAATTGTTCCTAATTACGTACCCAGTGGCGGGTTTAAGGGGGGGCCACGGGGTAGTAGCCCCCTCCCCCTTGGAACTATGTTATCTATTTTTTTAAGGCGGGTAATAAATAATCTTTATATGCATAAGTTATGCATATATGCATATGCATAAGTTATGCAGCATAACTTAATTTTAGTTCGCTTTATTGTAAAAACGCACGAATGCTTCGTGCGTTTTTACAATTCAGTGTTCCGAGTTACATCATCAACTTATGATAATTATGCGAAAATATTTACGGCTGTCATGTTGGTTCACAAACAAATAAACAAAGCATAGTCATGTCTTTAGCCAAAAGCAAATATTTTACTTGTCTTTCTGTTGAAAGCAAGCAAAGATATCTTCATAAAATTTCTCAAATAAATAATTTAGATCCTTACAGTTTAGTGCAATCTGACTTGGTTTTTTCAGTAGATTTTTATCCTAAAATAGGTTACCCTGATATTGTAAGTTATTTAATGTTTGCTCCATCTCCTATATCCGCTAATGAACTAAAGTGCTATAAAAGTTTGGAGTCATATAATTATTTCCTCTCTGGTTGGGCCAAGGAAATCGGTTTAAAGTTATTTGATGAAAAATGTTTGGTTATTGGAAAGGTAACAAATTTTTATATTTGTATTTTATTAAAAAAAAGTTTAACGTTAAATTAAACATAGTTTTATTTTATCATATTGCAGGTTTATCATTCTCAAAAGCATAAAGAAACGGCAACTTCAACATGGATTATTTCTAAAATGGATGGTAAAGTAATATATGCTCATTGTAACTGCATGGCTGGTCTCGGAGAGGCATGTTCTCACATTGGAGCAGTTTTATTTTATATTGATGCTGCTGTCAGAATTCGTGATTCTAAGACAGTTACAGAAAAAAAAGCATATTGGATGCTTCCATCTTCAATCAAAGATATTCCATATGCAGAATGCATTGATATAGATTTTACCTCCCCAAATACTTTAAAACGAAAATTTGATGAAGAAATATTAAACGAATCTACCTGTAGTGGATTTCTAAATGATAAAAAAAGCGATGCATTATCAAGTAGTTATAATTGCACTCCTTCAACTCAGAATGAACTTGATGCATTTTTCAATGATCTGAGCCTCTGCAAGTCAAAGCCAGCTATTTTGTCGATTATATCCCCTTACAGTGTAGATTACCAACCCTCATCGTTAAAATTGCAATTTCCAAAAATGTTGCGGGAACTTTATGATTCTTCAGCTTTATCTCTTAGTTACCTAGATTTATGCAAACAATGTGAAACTTTAAGTTTGTCTGTATCGGAGGTTGAGCAGTTTAATGTTGAGAAAGCTACAAGAGAGCAAGTTTTTTCAAAAAAAATGGTTTTATTTTCGAGCAGGGAGAATTACAGCATCAAACATGTATAGTGTATTACACACGCTTGAAGCCATGCCTGCCTTATCATTAATTTAAAAAATTTGTTACCCTGAAAGTTACAAAGTTAGTTCATGTCAAACTAAATGGGGAATAGACAATGAAAAGATTGCTTTAGCAAAATATTTTGATATTGTAAAACACCATCATGTTAATTTCAAAATTATAAAGTGTGGTTTTTTTATATCGACAGAGTATCCTTTCATAGGTGCTTCTCCAGATGCTTTAATATCTTGTGAATTCTGTGGTGAAGGATGTGTTGAAATTAAAAATCCTGCTAACCATAAAGACAATTTTATATTAGAAGCTATTGGTAAAGATAAGACATTTTGTATACAAATAATGAACACTGAAAAAAAGCTCAAACAAACACACCCATATTACTTTCAAATTCAAACTCAGTTGCATACATGTAAAAAAAAGTTTTGTGATTTTTTTATAAATACATCTAAAGATTATCACTTAGAAAGAGTTTATCCAGATAATTCTATATGGACAGCCTGCTTACTAAGTGTCAGCTAAGTGTAAGTTACTAAGTGTCAGCAAGTATTTAGCAGTTCTATCTTGCCAGAATTAGTTGGCAAATTTTTTACAAGAGATACCAAAAATATGGATTTTGACATTATTGATGATCACAATTTATATTGTTATTGTAATGGCAATAAAAATGGTGAGTTATTTCCTTGTGCAGGAAAGAGTTGCAAAATTAAACTTTTTCACTTGGTATGCCTAAAATTGAATAATAAACCAAAAAAGAATTGGCTGTGTCCTGATTGTCATAAAAAAATATTTAGTATCTAAATGTGAGCATCGATTTAAATACTTGTAATAAAATACTTTATTTACTTATTTTAAATTTTTTTTATATGATGTTTCAGTCTGATTAACTCAGACGATCATCAAGCGTAATAATTTATAAATAAAAAAATAACTTTTTTAATTTTATGTCTGATGATGGTATGAACTAATTAGTCTGAAATATTACGTGAATAAATTAAAAATTAGTACTTAGCTGTGTTTTATATTATTATATATTATAAAGAGTATGAAGTTCAATTTAAACTAAAAAATTTTTTAGTGTTCAACGGTTTTGACTATTTAAGGTTTCCAACATCCCCAAATCGAGGGAGTTGTAAATTTTACATGGTCATAACTTTAGAACACTTAAAGATTAATAAATGAAAATTAAAAACTGTGTGTAAATTCAAATTTAGTGTAAGATAGTATATTAAAATAGTATCTTAATTCATTTCTCTTATGATTGGGGTAGGATAGTGGATATCTTTTATGGTACTTTTGTTCCTAGACTCACCTACAATTTTTTGCAAAACTTATGTGTTATATCTAAAATATCAATAAATCCCACCCCTCCTGGTTTTATTGTGTTAACTGTTCCAATACTATTTTTCGTATCCGTTCTTAAGTTTTTTTATGCAATGTGGTTTTTATAAATAACATTTTGACACAGCATTTACTCAATAACAGTGCCATTTAAGCACAATGCAGTCTCGCCTTGTTTATTACTCAAACCTCTATATATATGTGGGAAAAGATATCTAGTTAGCAAGGAGACAGCCACTCGACTCTTAATTAGATCTTTATTAGCAACCCTACTCGTTAATTAAAATTTTTTTTTCAATTCCTACCCAGGGCATTTTTTCCTTCCACCCTCTCTCTTCACTACTTATTAGAGATTTAGAAGTAACTATTTTTAAAAAACATGTATTTTCATTCGCTTCTGTTTATAAAAGATTGTATTTTGATATTGAATTATTAAAAAAAAAAAAACTATAAAATACCGTTTAACCCTCATACAAGTGTGAAACTATGGATATTTGACTTCCACGCACAAAAAAACTATCGTAAAACAGGGCTTGAAATATGGAGATGGTTCAAGGGGCATTGCTATTTAACATCTGACGAACCTTAGCTAGAGAAAGTGTTATATAAACTTGAAATAAAAAATAGACTTGCGTTGCTAAATATATAAATACCAGTTAAATGTTTTTATATAATAGGGCTACTCAAACTGTTAGCCTTCAAAATTAGGATAGCAGTAGCGGGCCCCGCATTAATAGGTGGTCTTTTCTTTATTTATTTTAGATGCCCTAAGAATTCCGTACGGTCTTATAACAGAGCACCGCGGAAGAGTAATTGAAAGGAAGTTCACGCCTCCTTTCAGGCGATGTTACAAAACTAGAGTTGAACCACAGATCTTTAGCTTCCTAGGCAAGCGCACTAACCACTGCGCTACAGCTTCTTTGAAAGAATCTGCTCTGGTCTCGCATCATTACGCGCTAACCAATGATTTTTTTTTTCATTCATTATTTTTAACTTTTTGCGAAGTTTTTTACATTTATTAAAATATAACGAGGTCTAACCACAGTGGACCAATGTATGACTAACTCTATTCATCCCGTGTTCAGAAATGATTCTCAATGCTGTGTAAATACTGTAAATACTATGATAGTCGTATATATATATATATATATATATATATATATATATATATATATATATATATATATATATATATATATATATATATATATATATATATATATATACACACACACGCACACATAGTATAGCATAATAAATATGTTAAATGAATCACAACGAAGTAAGGATTTGTCAATATCGGCTTATACCAATTTGGATTTTTTGGTGATGTAGATTTCACACTTTCAAGCATCGCACGAAATCCTAACATAAGTATGTTAATAATTTTGTCAAATGTTTTACAAAAAAGTTACTGTAAATAGTGTCTGGGAATAAAAATATTCCAAAACCTTGACCCCTTACCGCAGATGTGAGGGAACTAAGTTATAAAATAAATCTCTTACTAAATAAAAGTTCATAGCGAGACAGTAAATTTCATCTAATAATCTTTTAGATTTCGAAAGTTATGACCATGTAAAGTTTCTACCAACCCAAAAATGAAGGAGTTGTAAAATTACAATGGTTATAACAGCTTAACTTTAAAACATTATTCCATAGAATATAAAAGCTGCCAATTATATTAAGTTTAGTATAAAAAATTGTTGGTGCAAACCAACCATTTTTTAAATGTACCTTTAATTACTTTTATATACTTTATTATATCTTCCATTTCGAATTAATATCTAAAGTTTGCATTTTGTTGTGCTTAATTAAACCTTTAATTATTAAAACTGAAGTCCCATCTTCGACATTTGAAGGTTTATACATAAGTACAACCTTCGACGTATAAAGGTTTTCTAAAGTATAACCTTAGACGTATGAAGATTTTCTTAGATACCACCTACGAAGTATGAAGGTCTTCTGAAATAAGGTTTTGCGCGAATTGCAAGGTTCTTAAATTTCTCAATAAGCAAAAAAGTAAAAACGAGTAAACAAATTTAAAACAGTATGTTACTGTATGTAACAAAAAGAATAAACAATCTTTTTAAAGAAAAAAGTAGTGAAATAGTAAAAAAAATTCTGCTGGTGATCCTACTGATGGAGCTGAAAGTGACAGTGAGTTATGTTAGTGTATTCTGCAAAAAGAGTGCTAAATAATCTTAAAGAACAGAGTAATAATAAATTAGTAAAAACACTTATCTAAATTTCCTCTACTGTTGGTTTTGCCATCAGCAGGTTGATCAAGATGTATCCTGACGAACCTGCTGAAGGCGAAGAAGACTGTAGGAGAAACTTAGATAAGTGTTTTTTATATATATATATATATATATATATATATATATATATATATATATATATATATATATATATATATATGTATATTTATATTATATTTATATTATATATATTATATAATTTTATATATGTAATTTATAAATATATATATATATATATATATATATATATATATATATATATATATATATATATATATATATATATATATATATATATATATATATACATATATACACACTTAAAGCCATATATATTCTACTCATAAAAAAAAACTCTTGTTTTGCTGCATTTCTTCATCTAACCATATGGTTAATCAAATGGTATTACAGAATCATTGAAATTTATTAATGAACATGATATTGTAACAATTTTGTCCATTGTAGTAAGGCCATTATTCTGTTTTATCAAGTAGTCCAGAGGAATTGTACATTGTAAAATTTTATATTTATTTCGAATATTACCTATAACTCTCTCTACATGAACTCGTACTGAGGCTATTTTTCTAGTCTGCTCAACGTCCCAAGAACTGAGTTGGCGTTTTCCTTTGGTAAATGATGGTAGTTTTACCTCTGCACAAAAGCAATGCTGTCTTTAATACTGAATTCTCTATCAGCCAGAACAACATCACCAGGTAACAACTTTGATAAAAAACCACAATTTTCAGTTAGATATTTATCACTAACACGACCACCCCATGATTTAGAAATAAAACTTACAACACCTTGAGGAGCAATACCAATTAAAAACTTGACAGTGTTGTGGTGTTTGTAGGAATGTTTGTGCACGTGCTAGTGCATTTTTCGGTTTGTCTATAAATACCTCAAAGCAGTCTATAACAACTCCCACTCTTGTTCCAAAATGTTGTCGGAAACACATTGGGGTAGTCTTACATAACTGCTCTCTATCAGGCCATTTTATAAGTGCTTTAAGTCTCACATATAAAACATCGATTGTTTTGAGAAACACAGAAGAGGCTGTTGTGCTACTGACATTATAACGATAAGCTAAATCATTTAATGTTAAATTAAGCCGAAGACGCATCAAAGTCAGTGAAAGATGTTGAAAATCAGAAAGTTTTGATCTTTTACACAGAAGGAAAGATCTTATAAATTTAAAAAGAGTAAAAAAAACATCCATGTTTGGAAGACCTGTATAAAAAAGGACTTTTTCGTCTGATACAAACCATTCTATTGTACCAACATTTAAAATAGACAACTCTGACATCAAATTACAAATTTTGGATTTACTTGAAGATAATTCTTCATCCATGGAAATAATGTGTTTGTTTGTTAAGCTTGTTTGACATGAAGAATCTTTGAAATTATTTTTACAAAGAACATCACCAACCACTTCAAAATCAATATCATGTAATTTTGAATCATTCAAAATTGCATGATGTTGATTTTAAATCACATTTATGGAATATAAAATTGAATCTTTAAAATCGACGGAAGATGGTGCTGCAACAACTTGTAACTCTTCTTTTTTCTGAATGATATCTGTAACACCTCTCACAAGTTGACGGTCAATAGCACGTTTGTGTCTGGAAATGTCTGTCAGTTTTTTTTCATAACCCATGAATTGATTTGGTATCCAATCTGGGTGAGATTTCTCGAATAATTTAGCAGGTTTCCCTGTAATATATAAAACACAAATATATGCCTAATCATATATACTATAAGAAGTAAAAAATATTGTATTCCTTAAAAAGAACTGAGTTTACCATATTTGAATTGTTAATGCAACTAAATAAATTTGTTGGAAACCTCAATTTAGCTGTATTTTATAGAAAACTGATAAGTTTAAAATGTTATTTTTCCAAAAAAAAGAAAAAAAAGAGAATAACTAAAAAAAAACCTGTAATGAAATGATCAGAACAAACTCTATAGTGAGTTGCATCGAAATTCATGTCTTCACGTTTTATTGCACAAAACCATTTATTTTTCCTTTCTGTTGAGAGTTGCTTAGTTTCCTCGTCGTGGTGTAAAAGTATGGTTGGAATGCGAAAAAATGACTTTGTACAATTTTCAGAACGATTAGTGCAATTAAACACACAACAAAAAACCATGGTTTTAAATGTTTTCAAAATTATATAAACAAATATATCAATACAAAAGCGCAATAAGTATACGGTAACTCGTTGTTTGTTTGTGAACCATCATGGCGGCTTATTTACAATTTAGTTTTAGCTGAAGCTAGTGAGGCCAGGTCGGAAGTTTTTAGTGCAATGTGTTTAATGCAAGTTTTTAATGCAATGTGTTCTTAAGTGAATGGTCGTACTGTTTGCATTGTTGTTTATTCTTTTGTATCTTGTTTATTCTTTTGTATCTGTTTAATTAATATATTCAATCATTTATAATCATATATTTATTTTATTTTTATTTTTTAATTTAATTTTAGAAATTTTAAGTGATATTTTAAAGTTTTATGTGTTGTATGTCAAGCGTTATATTAAAATTTTACACAATTAACAAATGAGCAATGATTCAATCATCCAATTGCTGCAATGCCATTAGCAATAGAGATAGTAAAAAGGCAACTACTGCGAAAAGAAAACAAGTCAGTATTTCTACATATTTTAACAAGAAACATATTTTATCAAAACAGGTTAATAAAGCCGAAAACTTATCCATTCCGATACTGTGCACTTCTCAATTATCTGAAAATGAAGAAAACACTGCTTGCAGTATCGAAAAAGATATTTTAGAACCTTTAACTTTTATTGAGAATATTAGATATTATATAAACTCAAAGTCTTTAAATCAGAATACAAGATATCGAATAATTAAAAAAAACTGTTTGCCTGGATCTTATTTTATTTATACTTTTTCAACACATGTTAAAAAAGGCAAAGAAGTGAAACGATTCTTAAATCAATCTCACTCAACAAAATTTCCTTGGTTAGCATATTCATCAATAAAATCTGGGTTATTCTGTAAATTTTGTGTACTTTTCCTTGTTAATAATACTGGGGGATTGAGAAATACTGAACCATTAAAAAAGTTAGTCACTGTACCATTAAGTACATTTGTATCACAAAAATGCAGTTTTACAAGCTGACGAGTTTTTAATCCATTGTGAGCAGCCAGAAAAAGAAGTTCTTAATTTGATTGACAGTGAAAGAAAAAGGCAAATAAGTGAAAATAGAGAAAGAATTACACCTATTATAGAGTCAATAATTTTTTTAGCAAGACAAAACATTCCTCTTAGAGGGCATAGAGATAATAGAGATCTATTAACTGATACTATTTTAAAAACATCTGTTATTAATGAAGGGAACTTTAGAGAACTTTTAAGACTTCGAATAAAATCTGGCAATAAGATATTAGAAAATCATCTTAACACAACTCATGCTAAAGCTACATATATAAGTAATACTATTCAAGAAGAAATAATAGAATCTTGCAAAGAAGTAATTATTATTAAAATATTGTCAGATATTAAATGTAATAAGTTTTACAGTATTATATTAGACGAAACTACAGAGATCATCTCAAATGGCTCTAATTTTAAGATATATATTTGATGAAAAAATAAAAGAAGATTTTGTTTCATTCATAAATTGTCACACATACTTTTATAATAAGCAAAAGTCAAACCAGAATGAACAAATCAATCATAATGAAGAATGTTTAGAAAATACAGAAAGCAACATTATTGAGCCAAAATAGTAGTTAATATTCTAAAAAGTTTAAATTTAAACTTGAAACACTGTGTTGCATTCGCAACTGATGATTGCTCGGTTATGACATCTACGGTTTGTGGTGCTGTTAAATATATTCAATCAAATGCAACTCCGAATGCAGTTTATAGTCCATGTGCCAATCATTGTTTAAATTTATCAATATCTAAATGATCTAGTGTCATGGCAATTAGAGACTCTGTTGGTATTATTAAAGAAACTGTTAAATTTTTTAATATGTCAGCCAAAAGAAATCATGTTCTTAAAATAGTATTTGGTAAAGAAAAACATTTGATGAGTTTATGTGAAACAAGGTGGATTGAAAGACACGACAACGTTTTGATATTTAAGAATTCTCTACACCATATCATTAAATCTCTGAACCTTATAACCGAATGGCAAGATAATGATTCATCAGTAAAGGCCTATTCTCTTTTAAGTTCATTAACTACATGTCAATTTATAATATCATTATTTATACTCTCAGATTTACTCAACGTCACCTGCAAGTAAACAACTTCAAAGTGTTCAAAAAGACCTACATTTTGCAGAAGATTGCTTTAAGAATATTATAAAAATTATGGAAAACAGGCGGTCTAACTTTTTTATAAATTTTAAAACAATATTTATAGAAAGTAAACAACTTATGGAAAAATTGGATGTGGAACTAAAGTTACCTCGTATTACTAAGCATCAAATACACAGACCAAATATAAATACTTTATCAGTAGAAGAACACTTTATAGTTTCTGTTTATAATCCACTGTATGATCATGTCCTTGATGATTTAAAAGATAGATATTTAAGTAAGAAAAATGTAACTGTTAATAAATTGTTACTTCTTATACCAAGACTTGTTACTATTAAAGTGCATGATATGAATATAATTGCTGACATTGGTAACGAATACTCGTTTATTTGCATAGAGAAACGACAGTTTTCTTCTGAACTTGATTTGTGGATTGCAAAATGGACCAGAGTTAAAAATGAAGGTAAATATAACATCTATTTTAAATTTTTTTCAAGTCTTAATTATCTACATAAGAAATTAATATCTTATTTATAAGGAGGTTATCTACATTATTAAATTAATAACCAAATAATTACATTATTAAATTAATATCCAAATAATCTTATTTTTTTTAACTAAAATGAATTTAAATCTAGATTAAAAGATTGGTTACGATCATGAATGAGCCAAAATAGATTGAATGGTTTAGCTCTAATTTATGTTCATAGGGAAAAGGAATTGTCAACAGATAGCATTATTGAACGGTTTTCAAGAGTTAAAAAAAGAAACATTGAATTTATATTGTAATGTTGCATTTATTTTATAGATAAACGGTTCATTTTTGTTAATACTTGTATGTTTCTATTTTAAAGATGGTTTCGGGTAAAAATTGATAGCGATTCAATTTTTGTTGATAACAACTAAAAATTAATCAACAGGCGATCTTAATAAGCTCGATGTGTGTAGATAAGTTTTCGATAAATTAAATCCATTAATTACGTCAAGCAACTTTTTTACCCCCATTGTAACGCTTTTGTGACAAGTTCCGTACGAGTCGTCATAAAACCACAAAGCCTTTAAATAGAAACTTTAAATAGCCCCCTTCCCCCCCTCCCTCCCTTGGTGAGTGATAAAACCCGCCCCTGTACGTACCTGATATTAAACTTTATTAAAATATACTTTCTCTGGTTTGCTGATTAAACTGTGTAATCACGACTGGTAACAAGTCCACTAAAAGTCAAGTCGAAATATAGGAATAATTTATTTTTTTGAAATAAAGCTTAATAAAAATAATAAGATAACTTCTACTTGCTATTAATTTTTTACCATCGTGTTATTTAAATAATAATGGAGCAAAACAATATCAGAGCAGGGCCGACAACGGGATAATTTGTTCCCAGACCATAATGATATAGGGGGTCCCTTAAATACCTGCCATGTATCAAAAAGTTTATACAATCATATTTACAATGTAAATGTATAGATCAATTAGATTATTGAGCTTCTCAAATTAATTTTGCCCCAGGGCCGGGAGCCAGCTTGGAACGGCCCTGTATGAGTATTTGTAATAATCACAAGTAATTAGTAAACAATGGAAAAATAAATTATGAAACACATATCTGAAATTTTCATTAGGTATAAATAAATGCTATGAATTAGATGAATTACATGCAATTGTTATTAAATAAACAAACAAAAATTAAAGATTGAAAAGTTAAATCGAATGAAAAGATTTGAGATTTTAGGATTTTTACTCGACTAAATTGACTTTTAGTCAATTAGTAGTAAGTCCATAGTTGAATAAATCGACTATTTGATTTTGAAAAATTGATAAAACCTTGATTTTCAACTAGTCGACTTTTAGTCAATTTAATGACAACATTTTCATAAAGATCTCGACCATGCATTAGCGTAAATATTATATGGGATTTATATAATTGGATAAGAGAATTTGGATGTGCAAACCTAATTTCAGATTGAATCAGAGTTTGCTCTAGTCATTGGAAGTTTATTCATTATTTTATTAGGCAAGGCAAAAATAGAGTTCTTTTGTATCATGTAAACTCGATATAAATAACTTTTTTATGAAGGTTACCTAAGATTATTGTGCAGTTCTTTATTTTCATTTTAAAATATCATTCAATGAACTTCAGTGGATTCAAGAAATTTCATTAAATATTTTAAAGAATATTCAATATTAAAATCTCTTTACTATAGTTTAAATAGTAATTAAAAAAATTTTTTTAGTAATTAAAAAAATTTTTTAGTAATTAAAAAAATTTTTTTTCATTACTAAATTTAAAAGTGATCGTAGATTTTAGTAGTTAACATTTTAAAATCATACGATCTAATTACTGTCAAGTAAACTGAAGCAATTAATAGATGCAGGTGAAAAAAGAAACAACTACAATTAGTAAATTAAAAAATATTGGAAATAAACTTTAATAGTTATTTCTAACTAAAAAATCCCTTTATAAATAATATTAATATACAAATAAAAGACATCTTAAAGATTAAAAAAAAAACGATATTTAAACCCATCTGGGATTTAAAGAGATTTATACATTTGTAAGAAAAGTTATGTTTGTAAACAAATCAGCAACGGTTGAAAATTTCACAGTACATTTAAGTCCCATGACTTTCTCCAAAAAACCATAAAAAAATCTTAATTCGGTCGGATATTCCACGGCAAAAACATAAAAAGACATAAATAAAAACTCCAATGCCTTCATAAAACAGCTGCAACAAGGCAGTGTTATAACTGTGTTGTCAACCTTTATATAATATCCATCAGATATATGCAACAGCATCGGTTGTTTAACCCCGCGATCCTCCAGTATCTATAGTGCACAGTCAACTGTGTCACGGCTGTTTCAAGGTGGACTTACGGCTTCTTGTTATTTTTTCAAAATAATTACTTAAGTGGTGTTACTAAAACTTGCATAACTTTTGAAATATTTAAGATAATTTCGTTCTGTAAAAAGAATATGAACACCATATAAATGTTTTATGTTATAACATTTAATGAAAGAATCAAAGAATGTTTTGATTTTCAAATAAATGCGATAAATGACGAACTTGGCTAAATTTCGAAATTTTCAAGGTACTTTTTAGCAAAAATAATCGGAAAAATTATATTTCTGTTGAGTTATATGTAATATAAACACAGTTAGACCAATTTGAAAACATATATACTCAATTTACACCAAATGTGAACTGATACAGGCACTACAATTAGCGGGAAAAAAAAATACGCAAAAAATAATTTATTTTTTTTAAAAAAAACTATTTTTTTAAAAAGATTAAAAAAAAAGTTTTTATTTGTTTTTTCTTTCGGTCGTATAATTCTTTACACTTAGATTAATATTAATACTTTTCTGTAGAAAAATAACACACCATTTTTTTTATAAATATACTTAACAATAAAGGCAATTAAAAAAACTCGTTTTTGTGGATTGTCATAAATATATTTTTTTAAGTTAATATACTAGTATATGTTGTATAAGTAGTAAATGATATTTGTACATGCAATTGGTATTAGTTTTATTTCCATTCCGTAACGAAAATACTCTTCATAATCTTGCTGAATTCTTATGTTATTCTAAAATTCCGCGTAACTTTGTTTACTTTATACCTGCAAAATTTATCTCGCCGAAACAGTTATTTCAATAAAATTCCTTAGTAAATAGCTTGGGAAGTAACGCAATAAAGTTACGTCATCGCTTAGAAATGTTAACATAAGTTTAAGCGTAAAATTAAATCAATTTGTTGTAAAACATGCCAAGTTTAAAAGCATATTCCCTAACATAGCAAGAGGTACATAAAATAATTTTTATATTTTCATCTGCATAAAAGGTCGAAATTTCAATAACTCACGTCATCCATCAAAAAATTAATATTTTACATTTAAAAGAAATAAATTTAAAAATATAAATGCATTAAAAATTAAGTTATAGTAACAAAATCACACGGATGACGTAGGAATCTGATAGAATAGACATTCATTTATAAGTGTTCAAAATTTCAATCATCAACCATGCAGCTATGTTAGGGAATCTTGGTTGGCCCCAGACAGGTTTTCGGTAAAAATCGCCAAAAACAGAAAAGTCATCCAAAATCATTTAAAATATTTTAACAATGTTTATTTTTATTTCGCCTAAAGTAAATATTTATTTAACGAAGAAAGATAGTTCTTGTAAATTTTTTTAATTCTAAGATTAAAACGTTTATAGAAAAAAAAAACCATTACTTTAAAGTTATTGAATTTTTATACTTTATATGCCGAAATTTTTAAAAAACTTTTTATGCGGAAATTGTTTTTGCTAAACTCGTGACGTAAGGCCCAATTTTACATTGCGTGAAACAGCCGTGGTGTCATCCTGCATAATGTATAAACATTTTTTTACATTAATTTATCATCAGATAGAGTAACAATATCAATAATAAAATAATGATAAAAATATATAAAAAAATAAATATAAAAACTTCTACAAAAATATTAGTTCAAAAATTTCAAAAAAAACAACAACAATACCTTGAAGTCAAAGAAAAGATTTTGCATAACCACACTTTTGGTAGCAAACAAGACCTTTTAACTGATTTTTGTGGTGGGGTAGGGAGAAGCCAAACATTCAACCGCAAGTTCACTTTTCTTGTCTAACAATATAAAAGAAAAAAAATTTGAACTGATATTAAACAGAATTATAACTTGTTAAACAGATATACAACCTAATATGTATACTTAAACAGATATATAACTTATAAGATATATAATAGATATATTAAACAGATATATAACTTAATATGTATACTTAAACAGTTATATAACTTTTGCAAATGAATAAAAATCACAAAAAGTTTTTAATAATTATTATTCAGGTAGAATAATACATTACATTAAGTAGTGTTAAAAATAGTAAAAACCAAGATAGTTTAGTTGACCACTTTAATAACAATAAACTACAATTTTTAATTGGACTGTTAAAAGTTCATAATTCACCTTCATCTAACTCGTTCGTTAAGGAAAATATTAGAGTATTTAATGAGGGCTTCAATTTTGGCATACTCCAGAATTTTAAGTTTGTATTTCTGCCACTCAACATACAATTGTGTTTCTATAAAATTGCAACTTTGGAATTCTTTAAGAATCTAATATATATATATATATATATATATATATATATATATATATATATATATATATATATATATATATATATATATATATATATATATATATATATATATATATATAGACTGAAGAAGCCTTTAAGTCACAAAAAAAATTCAAATTTTCAAAAAATTTACAGCACTGCAAATTCCATTAAAAATAGTATTGGGAGCAAACTATATGTTTTAATAAACAAATGTAAATATAATGATTCTGGCATGTCTAGTAACCGCGGGTACTGGTTTAAAAAATCTGTGATTGATGGGAACGATGTGTTGATCCCGATGATTTCTTGTCTCCATTAATTTATTTAACTCTTCTTTGTTTTGGGCATTAGGTCTTTGTTTGCGTAGTAATCGAACAGCACTTTCAACATCATCGGTAGCAATAAGACCTATTTTGTTAATAGCAAGACTACTGATAAAAGGTGAGGGATAAAAAAACTTATTGAAATTTTAAAAAAGGGCTAACAATATAAATGAAATTTTAAAAAAGGGCAAATAATAATCGCTTATCATCATCATGATCATTATCACCATTTATTAAATGAAGGACATTTTAGATTTAATATTTACCTATTTGATGGCGAATGTTACCAATGTCATTATATCTTTACAATCTGAATGCCGGCTTCGAACAAAGTATTCCAACTTTCCACTAAATGATTTTCTATCAAAGAAGTATCCCTAAAGATAAAAAAAAAAAAA